GAAAATCTGGTGGTTTAACATTACAATTTTCTTCTCCTATTATTTAATGAAATAACTTAGAGGGTGTTTGGTATAGATTAAAATCAGATTTTAAGTGAAATGTGATAGAAAGTTTTGAAATATGTGGTTGGAAAAATGTGGAACCTATGAAAGATGTGGTTGATATTGATTGTTTAACTTTGACTTAAATTAAAATGTGGCCCAAATAGTAATGTTAAATCAATAATGTCTAACTCGAATAGCTAGTAGGTTAAAACCTTGAAACTATGCCCTTGTTTGAGCCCCATTTTTTTTTATCAAAATGTATTCTTGAACGGTGATTTGACTTTATTTCAACTATATATTTTTCAATAAAAAATATTACACGCAAATCCAAAATTTTTCCTTATTTTTTTACTATAATGCTATTTATCATTATGATGATAAAATATCAGTGATGTGACAGTTTATGAGCATGTTTAGTAGAGTTTAAAATCCAATTAAAATTGAAAATATAGTTGTTATTGGGTCACACTCGTCTAATAAAAGTCGACAATAACCACTAGTTTTTTAATTTTAATCTGGTTTTAATCTCTACCGAACACGCCCTATGTGAAATATTGAGATTGGATAATTCAATTTTCTGAGAAAGATGGGGGATGAGTGAGAGAAAAATGTGAGGAATAATGAGTTATCACATCACCTATTTTTCATCATCATGATACATAACATTACTCATTTTTAACCACATATTTTCCATCATAAAACTATTACAAAATTTATTTTTTGAAAAAAATAGGACTCAAACAAGCCCTATACATGGTCTAATTCCCAGTTCAATAAATACGAATTGAAATACTACGGTTATTATTGTATCATTCAAAACTATTATGAGACCTCGAGTTCCATACCTACATTCAGTGACAGAGCCACAGAGAGTGAGGGCTGACGACCGCTTCCCCAACATTTTGAAATTCCTCTGAGCACTTATTTGACAAAGCTTTGGATAAAAAAGTAGCAGATTTTGATAACAGTTGATAAAGAATTAGAATAAAAAGCTTGTTCTAGGATAGAGATTTCCCAGTTTTTATGTCTCAGCAGAGTACATAATTCATTAGCAGCAGGAACAGTTTACATTCTTTCACCTTTTCATAATGATAGGTATAACGATTTGTAGATCGCATTCAACCAGTGTCACTATTAAAAAACGCAAAACCATTGTAGAAGTGCTATTTTATCTTCACGTCTTTCCCTTCTTCCTACTTCACTTCAATTTGCTCTGCTGATGATCAAGGCTTCGATCAACCTTCAAGCTGCAATGTAAAATATTAACGTTCAGCTGTTGATGTAGCGACCGCGAACTTTTA